TTTAGGGTCTTAATATTAAGTTTGTAACATACAGTACTTTGGTTAAAATTCTTCAATGGTTGTGTAAAAACACCCTTTTCTCTTTAAATAGAGTTCTGTTGACAGCGACCCGTTTCGGTGCATGTCTCTTTAAATGATAATGAGCAACAGCTCCCCCAATCCCTTTCTGGGACGAGTTGACACACGTAAAGGGCTGACCGTATCCAAATGGCTGAGGGCGGAAGTATGCTAATATGGGAAATATGCTAATACGGGACAGTCCGTCAGCGTTTGTGGGCGGAGCATGAGCAATATGACATCATATTAATCGGAAAATCCAAACGGCTTGATTGAGTGTTTAGGCTGTTAGAGGATTTTTTTTTTAAAAAGGAGTGAATGGATTTTTTTCATTGTATGGTGGTTGTGTCCACACACTGCAAACACCTTATAAAAGTGAATTTTGCATCCGAAGACCTCTTTAAAGAAGTCTAGTATGCTTCAAATATGCTATTTATGATCAAACAAATGCAGAGTAAAAACAGAAATATTACGAAATATATTACAATCTAAAATAACTTTTTTATTTGAATGTATTTTAAAATGTAATTCCTGTGATGTCAAAGCTGAATTTTCAAAAGCATAAATACTCCAGTCTTCAGTGTCACATGATCCTTAATTTCTTATTAACAATGTAGAAAACAATTGTGCTGCTTCATATTTTGAAAATATTACATGATCTGTTTCAAAGCACAGTGTTATTTCAGTTTAACCTTGGATTTTTATATTTTTTATTTAATTTTTAGAATGTTTTGATTGATCTTGTTATTTTATTTATATTTAGTGTTAATTTAAATTTAGGCTATTTAGGGTTAATTTATTAAATTATTTAGTTTTAGTTAGATTTTTTTTAATAATAGTGCTTCCAATTAGACATATTTAACTTACAAAGTATTCTGTAATAGAAAGTAAGTTGAGTAAGAACTGTAAGAATAGTAAAAAATAAAAAAAAAATAATCCCTGATAATATCTGCAACAATTATCAGCCTAATCAGACAAATGGCAATTTAATTGTCCAATAATTATATAGTCATGATATCCCTAAAAATAGATCCCTAAAAGGGCTTTCATTAAAATGTTCTTTCATTATCTCCAGAAAAAACATCAACAGAATAAACATCTCAAAGACACACACACGGTAAAGCAGTGATCTTGTGTATTTGTCATGAGTGGGCCGGTCACACACACATGCACGACCGGCCACATGAAAGGGCACAACAGCAATTACACAAATCCTGACCTGCCTTTGGACACACACACACACACTCCGATATCTCCACTAACCTTCTACTCATTTCCTGTGCCCCCTCTCGCTCTGCCTCTGTTAACGGATGTGTGTGTGTTTGTGTTTAATCTTGCCTTGACGTCTTATGTTTCTCGAGTCTCTGCAATTTTCCCTCAGCTTTCATCTCCATGTTCACTACGGTCAGATCATTTCCAAAAACCTTCACACACTTCTGATGTCTCACGCGCACACACACACACACACACACACACACACACACACACACACACACACACATCTGAATAGTTCTGTTATCAGAGGCTTGCGCTCTAACTCTGGGTGTAAACACAGCGCCACTCAGCAGCCTCCTCCTTTGATTGACATGTGTCAGTCATGCTGTGTGATGCTCGAGGTTGCTTTTTTGACCATGATCTGCATCCTCACCATTACAGAATCAGTTTCTACTTGTTTCGGAGACATGTTTCATTAGTAACCAAAAAGAATTCCGGCTAAAAGAGAAGATCAAAAATAAAGATGCACAATATACTAGTGACCACAATCATAACAACCAATACTGCTTTATTCTTTAATAACTACTGGATTTTACTTATTTGCATTAGTTTATTTGTTAATTTCAAACTGTAAATTCAGTTTCTTTAACAGTTTTGAAAGGAAATATACAATACTGTTTGTGATCTATACTCTACATTAGTGATAGCCTAATGCTGTTTTGAGATTATCAGCATTGGCCAATTACTATGTTCACTTGGAGCATTAAAGTGCCCCATTATGCTTTTCACATATTATCTTTCATGTAGCGTATAATATAGCTGTGAATGTAAATGGTCTGGCAAGATCTAAGTACAGATAAATGGAGTTATTGACTCCCAAAAGAAAAAATATTCTGAACTGCCTGAAACGAGTCGTCAGTAATCCCGGTCTTAATTCTTCGTAGGTTTGTAACACATTTGCATAATGCCAGTCTATGATCTTCATTTGCTGCTAAGGAACCACATATACATTGAGCCTCAAACACTATAGTTGCAGCTGAGACTGGAGGAGTTTGATTCGTGTTGTTCATGTCGAGACTTTGATGCACTTTTAAAAGGATGTGGAAAACACGGAAAAATCAATGCCATCATTACTGTTTGCATCACAGTGTATCAAGTGCTGAGGAAGATCCGGAGCTAATATCTGACCAATCAGAGTGGAGTAGACCAATCCCAACTGACTGGGTCATCTGACCAATCAGAGCGGAGTAGACCAATAACAACAGACTGGGTCATCTGACCAATCAGTGCGGAGTAGACCAATAACAACAGACTGGGTCATCTGACCAATCAGAGTGGAGTAGACCAATAACAACAGACTGGGTCATCTGACCAATCAGAGTGGAGTAGACCAATAACAACAGACTGGGTCATCTGACCAATCACAATGGAGTAGACCAATAACAACAGACTGGGTCATCTGACCAATCAGTGCGGAGTAGACCAATAACAACAGACTGGGTCATCTGACCAATCAGAGTGGAGTAGACCAATAACAACAGACTGGGTCATCTGACCAATCAGAGTGGAGTAGACCAATAACAACAGACTGGGTCATCTGACCAATCAGAGTGGAGTAGACCAACAACAACAGACTGGGTCATCTGACCAATCAGTGCGGAGTAGACCAATAACAACAGACTGGGTCATCTGACCAATCAGAGTGGAGTAGACCAATAACAACAGACTGGGTCATCTGACCAATCAGAGTGGAGTAGACCAATAACAACAGACTGGGTCATCTGACCAATCACAGTGGAGTAGACCAATAACAACTGACTGGGTCATCAGACCAATCAAAGCGGAGTGGACCAGTGATGTTTTCGTAAAAAGAGATGACAATAACGAAATGATTTCGTTAACGCACCGTTTTTTTTATGACGATAACGCGACGATGACTAGCTAAAAATAGCTCTGAGGTGACTAAAACATGACGAGACGTTTTCGAGTTTTCGTTGACGAGACGAGACGGAACGAAAATGATTATAAGTCTGACGTTCACAATGCATGTAATTTATGCCTGTTTTGCGTGAAATCAGTCTGTATGGAGCTAAAAATAAGTATCAACAATGCTGCCGTTTCCTATCGCGTGCGCCCAGCACCGGCCGCCGCGAGCGCACCAGATTCCACACAACAACAACACAGGGTTTAATGGTAGTTTTTGTACCAAGTCAAGTCAATAGAGTCAGACAAAAACTAGGATAAAACCTGTTGGAAAGCATATTTTGCAGCGATGTTTGTGTGAGCATATCAGTGAACATCCCTGACCACTCGGTGAGTTTGACGTCTTTGTAAACGAATGTTTAATGCGTTTTATGAATGATTGTGTGGGTGCTAACACACAAACCTAAAATTCTCGGGACAACAGCATTTGTCCAAATTTCAATCTTAACAGTTCTATTTCGTCAGAAACGAGTGTAAAACACCAAACTAACCAAGACCAAATACAGTGTTTATTCTGGGATTGTCTTATTCATTTTTATGTTCAACACACTCCAAGTGTCATGTTTGTTTCAAACTTTATATTCAAGTATGCATTCTTTGTTCAATGCACCTCAGTATTAGATATTTATTTTATTATTTTGTTTCAGAATGTTTGCAACTTTGCACAAGTTAAAGATAGACTGGGTTGTATACATAATGTTTGTGTTTACAAATAATGTGCATCTTATTGTTGCATACTACGTTGTTCATTGCACTTAAGCAATTTCTCAAATAAAGCCACAATTGCCAAAGTAAGAATGTTTTTATTCTTGGCTTTTTTGTAGTAAATTGATTACACTGTTACCACTTTATCTGTGTACAATGTTCTAGTAGCTCAACGTTTTTGCCGTTTAAACCATTCCTTTATTCCTTTATTACTGTGATAACTGGTGAAAATAGCTTTTAATATTCAGGGGTAAAACTATAACTTGAAATATGGGGATAAAAGGTTTCTGCCCAAGGTGACAATGAAGTACAGCTTGGCAATGGCAGCACTGCATCTCCATCAATGAGAAAGTCTAGTTTATTAAACAAAGGTTTTAAGGTTAGCTTGTTTTATGAATTGCAACACTTGCTAAATCTGTCAAACCTAAGCCTATTTCCACTACTTTTTAAACTAAATTAATTTGTTAAAGACTACTTTTTTTTTTTTACTAAAATTGATTAAACTTGACTAAAACCTTTTGGTGTTTTCGTCGACTAAAACTTGACTAAAACTATTAAGTTTATAAGTGACTAAAATGTGACTAAAACTTAAAAGCATTTTCGTCCATAAGACTAAAACTAAAAGGGCTGCCAAAAACAACACTGGAGTGGACCAATCACAACTGACTAGGTCATCTGACCAATCAGAGCGGAGTAGAATAGTTTTGTTTTCTGCCGTTTGAAATGCACAAGCTCTTTAAAGTTGGGTGGATTCAGATTGGCTGTCAATATTTTTATCAGCTGGAAAACACAATTTTGAAAGTGATTCAACTAAATTGTTCCTCGGTAATTATCGCTATACTATGATCCGATCACACATATATCATGATGCCTGAATTCCCCTGAAGCATGTAAAACTCTGCAGTCTGCTGGGTGTGTGTGTGTGTGTTTTAAATATATAACAATATCAGAAATTGCTTTGTTTACTGGCGATAACTTAAAAAATGAATGTTTAGAATGGCATTAGTCAGAATTGCTGCATGTGCATGACCACAGCTCACCCTCTTTCTGCTGCGTCGTGGTGGGCGTCTGAGTCTCCTTGGTGTAGGACACCACCTCTTTGGGTGGGAAATCCACGTGGGTCGTCTTCGCCATTGCCAACTTCATAGGACCACGTCTGGGAGAGCGCACAAACACACACAGACACACAAATCATACGGAGGATCTGTGCACACACTGCTCAAACATCTAAAAATTCACACAGGCTTTTAAAATAATGCTGCTGTCTATGTAGTAGAGAGGCTTTATTTATTTATTTTCTACTTTTCCCTGTTGCCAAAAACACTCATAATGCACTTTTGATTTTGGCGCCACCCTTCTGTTGATTCGCTTGTTCGTGGACAGGAATACAAAATTTCAAAAGCTCAATCTGTAGTTTAAATAAAAGTCCAGCTTCAGTCTCAGGCCCTGTGTACAGCTGGTGTGAAGATGCTTTTTGGTCAATCGGATCACAAGTGGACGACACTAAATACAGGAGTAAACGGGTCTAAAGCGTTTGAGCTTGTCCACTTTCGACCACTTCCAGAGGGAGTTGAAAACACATTAGAGCGGATTGCTTTTGTAGTGTAAACGCACATGTGATCGAATGTGTTCAAACAGACACTAAACACCGTCTGCTCTCCGTCTACTGATCTAATGATGAACATTAAGGGAAGAGCTCTAGCCAGACGGGGTTTAAACTTTGTCAGCTGAAGACCCAAGTTTGGTTTGAAGATGAAAAACGTACCAAACACAATGTTCTCTCAACACACACTCACAGCGTTCGGCTGGTCTTAAGTCTATCAGAGCAGAAACTAAAGCTGATGCTCTCCGTATGTTTTCCATTGTCTCTGTGTGCGTTCATATGTAAATTACACAAGCTTATTTGGCCCATTAGATCAAAAGTTTAAAGAAATGACAAACACTCAGCTAAAAGAAATCAGGACAGAAGTGGTTGAAAGTCTCTCGTCTACTTGTGATCGACTAAAATGCATCTTAATATCAGGTATAAACAGGACCTAAGAAAAGCCCTGTGATCTAATCACCCCTACCACATTTATAGACCATTTTGCAAGATGTAAACAACACTGGTCCAGAAGCACTTCCTGTTTCAGTTTTTTAACACTACATAAAAGCTGGCATAAAATACAACCAACAACATATAAAACTGAATCAAAAAGTTAAACAAACATCTTTAAGATGTTTTCTTTACATGTGAAATAAAGAAAACAGTTACAAACTGAAACAGGAAGTGTTTCTGGACCAGTGTTGTTTACATCTTGTGAAATGGTCTATAGGTGACTAGCATGTAACATTCTGACATGAAAAAAAATATATATAAATAATGTGAACACACTTGACTAGTGTGTGTTACTCATGATGATCTTAAAAAGCTTTTAGTTAAATACGTAGAAAACATAGAACATTTTTTTTAAAGTAATTAATTAATTCTAATGGAAAAGTTGGACCGGGTTGTGAAGGACAAGTTGGCAACCGTGCACTTGGGAACTCCTTCAATACTGTTGCTTCAAATACAGATAGTTTTGATTTGTTTAATATTTTTGGTCATTATATATGACTAAATATATATATATATATATATATATATTAGGGCTGTCAAAAGATTAATCACGATTAATCGCATCCAAAATAAAAGTTTGTGTTTACATAATATATGTGGGTGCACTGGGTATAATCATTTTATATATATAAATACAAACACGCTTGAATATTTAAGAAAAAAAATATTATTTATATATAAAATATTTATATTTATATATAATATAAATTATATATAAATCTATATACAGTATATACATGAAAATATTTCTTAAATATATACAAGCATGCGTGTGTATTTATATATATATATATATGTGTATTTTACATATTATGCAAACACAAACTTTTATTTTGGATGCGATTAATCACGATTAATCGTTTGACAGCCTTAATATATATATATATATATATATATATATATATATATTCATAATTTTGATGACTTTACTATAACTCTAAGGTCTGGTTTCACAGACAAGGCTTAGATCAAGCCAGGATTAGGCCTTAGATTTATTCGGATGTTAGCTTTTTATTAGCCTGACTACGTCAGACTTCCTACTTCCGCTAATTTCATTTCGCTCCTGTAGTCAGCCTGAGATAGCGGCCTATCTTTTAGTTTTCCACAAATAGACGTCTCTGCGGAACAACAAGAAGGCGTTTCCCAATTATTGGGCGTTTTCAAACCCGTCTAGGCATTTTCCGACCATCCAATCAAAACGTACGGAACGGACCCGGAAGCCCTTTCAGAAGCGGAGATGCGTTATTAATATTTCTCGTTTTCTTGATTTTTACTATTATGTCTGTATCGCGACAACATATCACAAAGTAATATACAGTTTACAGTTACCTATTTTCTTTAAAATAGAAACTCGTTTTTATAAGATAGGCGTTACAGATCTTGTATAATAGCCGGTGTGTATTATATTTTATAATATTCTCTCCAACCTACATGTAATTTGTCCCTTAAAAGGTTTACATTTTTTAAAACAAGTATTAAAAATTACGTTGTTACTCAACTATTTATAATTGCATAGTTTTAATTTCGTTTTGTGTGTGTGAACACAACATAAATCAAGTTGTAACGGTGATTAACAAGGTAAATTAATAGCAATTTCCACTAATGATATCGAATCATACTGTAAAGCAATGGTGAAAATGATTGTATTGGTCTTTCTCACCTGTATTTTTCAAAATATGTTTATATGTAATGACTGATATTTAAGTGATATTTGTAACTTACATTAAATTACATATAAAGTAAAACGTATTGAATGTTCATACAGTCCCTAAATATCCTCTGGAAATCACTGTGCTCACATTATAAGTCTGCTTAGATTTACATGCACATCTGTGTGGCAGTTACAACATCTACAGCGAACAGTGTGAATCCCTGCCACTCATGAGTCCTCTACAGGTTTGAAAGAGCAGAAAGAGTGCAGTACCCCAGCTCAGAGTGAAGCAGAAGAGTAGAGGGGTCACAGTCCCAGTGCAGAGTCCTGTTAGTGTCAGAGCCACGGGACAGGGTTACACACACACACAGACACAGAGAGAGGTCGTTATATAAAAGTTGGCTAAAAACACAATGTTACGACACTTCAGAGCAGTTAAGAGAGACAAGCAGAAAAGCTTCTATACACACACACCACAAACACCACAAACAGAACCAGATGTCCATGCAGTGCTACAGTATGTTTCTAAAGGAAATCATCTGTTCTGATGTCCACACTCCTCCAGTACACATCAGTTATTGCATGATGATCACAATTATTTGAGAAAATCCCATATAGAGGGAATGCATTGACACGTGACTTTCCCGCGTGACAACCCCCCTCAGCCTGACCGAGTGGCAAAAGATCTGCTGCGTGACTGGATTTAATAGGGGAAACTGCGGAAATGCGACTAAATCGAACAATTTTATCAATTTAAACTAGATTTGGACTCAATATAGTGTTCCTTACAACTTACTAAAGATCCAGCGATCCATGGATATTGACATGCAGCCAGGAATCGTGTTGCCTGACATTTATGTTTGCCTGATTTCGACACCGGGGAAATAAAAGCAAGACCTAAACATAAAGCAAATTTGCCTGTGAACGCTTTATATAAATATAATATAGGTAGGTCTAAATCCGGGTGGTCACTTATATCAGTGTTATAGCCTATATATATATATCATATCGTCCAGCCCTAAAACTTTATAAGTTTTTTTGGTCAGTGTTTATTAAAAAAACCATCCAATAAAGCAGAATATGCAATGATAAATATTTAATTGATGAGTTGTTAATGTATATAACAATACAAAATATATGGGTATGGTTTTACAGCTAAATTCAGCATATTGACACAAAATGATAACGGCAAATCCACCTTTCGCTGACTGGAGTCTAGTTGTTTCTGTGAATTGCAGTGATCCATTTGCTCCTCTTTCTATAGCAGTCTGTAAAAATATACCTTGGATGTTTTGTCAAATCTAGTTGCAGGCCTACAGTCAATCGCAAAGCTCGTTCCCACTTTATTTGTGTGTGTTGTGTTTGTTTTTCGCGGCATTCACGCTGAACACATATACAGCCGCTCAGTCTTTTTGCCACTCACTGTGAGGAACTGCAGGCACGCCGGCCAACGGTGACGTCACGCGCATACCCTCTATACCTTAAATGACACCATCATAGATTTACTATAAATATGAGAATTTTAGGTAACACTTTACTTGAAGGGGCATGCTTAAGACTGACATGACACCTTCATAATCATGACTAGAGCCCGACCGATAAAGGATTTTGAAGGCCGATACCGATACAAATATTTGTTGGTTTTAAAATCCGATATATCGGCCGATATTATTATTATTTTTTTATTTCAGAAACGAGCAACAAACTATTATCAGATTTCCCTAACATTTGTAGTTAATTATGAGTTTTAACTAAAATAATATGATAATGCATAACTGGTTCTCTCTGCCTGTTAGGGCTGGGTAATAAATATCGATTTCTCGATATTAATCGATTCTCATTTTTACGAACCGATATCGATTCTTAAGTCTCAAGAATCGATTATTCATCCTGTTTCATTTAAATGAATGAGACATTGTATCGCGGCTGCGCGCATCAAAAAAAAAAATCGCAATAATCTTTGTCCTTTGTTACTATTGATATGAAACAAAGTCTCAATTTTCAAATTACGTCCATTTTCTTTAGAAATTCAAAAACATAAATAGAGTTTTGGCGCTGTGGCGTGAGATCGCTCTGGCTCAGCTCAAGAGAAGCAGCAGCGCTGATCTCTCTTCCGGGTTAATAATACCAGTTACAGCGCGAAATAAACATGAATGAGCGTCTGAAAGTGTGTTAAAAGATTGAGTACAACTTATCGAAATTCGTATCATGTCACATTGATTCGCTCAATCAGCGTTTCAACCGTGGAAAGACGTCAATTAAACAGCTTGTAATCAATGTCATGTATCGTCATATTTACCTCAGAAAACCCACATTAACTCGTTAGTCAGCTAGAAAAAAATAACAGAGAGGAGCATTTTGCTAAATATATAGCCACCATTTAAATGTTTATATTTCATATAATCTTCTTATTATAAAAATAAATAAAAGTGTAATTTAAGTGATTCGTTCATTATTACCTTCATATTTGAATAAATCTGGCAAGTTTTTTATGACAGCCACCATTTAAATGTTTATATTTCATATAATCTTCTTATTATAAAAATAAATAAAAGTGTAATTTAAGTGATTCATTCATTATTACCTTCATATTAGGCTAATGAAGCCTAGTAGGCTACAACTAGACTCCCATAGTTTACAGCATTAGTTAAGAGATTTGATTCCCTTGAGAAAAAATGGCATTTATTGTAACTGATATCCAAAATAATCGATATTGAATCGAATCGTAATCGAAATCGAATCGAATTGCAAGCTTGTGAATCGAAATCGAATCGAATTGTGAAATTTGTCTCAATACCCAGCCCTACTGCCTGTTGCAGGATGTGTGGCGCGTTATACACGGGTGTTGCCAACAGGAACGGTGTAGAGTGCCCTCTGGTGGACAAACTAAACAACTCCAACACTCATGACATGGTTGAAGCGTGATTCGCCCGTTTTTATTTTATTATTGAAATATTCATTTATCGGCCATTATAACTGCCGATACCGATATTTTAGAAACTGCCGATATATCGGTCTGGCTCTAATCATGACACGACATATGTTTTATGCATGTTTGTGACAACTGTCAGTAAGTGTCATTCGCTCAATTATGACATTTTTAATGCAAATATGACATTCTTTGAGATGTCTTGACATGAACCGATACATCACAACCTGTCGGTGTCTTTGTCATGATAACTTGACATTACTAAGACAACACAACCTGTCATAAACATGACATAGCAGATTAATTATCAAACTTAAGAAACCACCTAGCTTTATGGGTTAACATTACATTAAACTCTCATGTGGTTGGTTTTGACATTGGCTGTCATGAGGCCATTATAACTGTGTCATGACTAATTTTTCTTGACCTCAACTACAGTGGTAAACATTGAATTTGTCATTAAAATGTTATAATGGCCTCATGACAGTCAATTAGTAATGTATTGTCAATTGTAAAGCTAAGTGGTTTTTTGATAATTAAGTTTGATAATTAATCTGTTATGTCATGTTATGACAGGTTGTGTTGTCTTAGTAATGTCAAGGTGTCATAGCAAAGACATCTCAAACAATTTCATATTTGCATTCAAAAAAATGTCATTATTGAGCGAATGACACTTAATGACAGTTGTCACAAACATCATTGTCATAAGCTATCAAACTTTGATGTTTTCATGTGACCAGATGCACTAGTGCATATTATTTGGTCGCTAAATTGGTGCAATGTTTAGCCAAAAAGCTGTCTGTCACCCAAATAACTGTCTTAAGGTCTACCCAGCAGGTGAAAAATACCTGTGCAGATTTGGGGTTATCACAATTGGTTAGTTTTAGGGGTCTGAGACCTCTCTAAACTCAGACAATTTCATGAGCTGCGAGTATGAAATGAAATCTGCCACCTTGAGTTAAACAGGATATTCTCACTATATACGGGAGTTAAAAATAAGAGGAGTGACACAAGCCAAAAAGGAAAGCAGCACAAGAGGTGTTTACATTATGATGAAAGATTTTTTTTTTTAGTTTAGCTATTCATGAAAATACACTGCAAATGTAGCTGGTGTATAATGTGTTGTGTTCGCTCAGTGCAGGGTCTGACACTTAAGTCGTTCTTCTATTAAGACAGTGGGGCATGAAATATCCTTCATCTCTAAAAAGAACAACAGACTGATGCGAATCGAGAGATTATTTTGGGCCATTTTTGATAGAAAAAGACATTGTGATTTCTCCACTCCATTAAGACCCAGATATACTTCAAGTGAAATCGGAAAACGAACTGGCGTGACGTCATTTCCAACAAAATCAGGCCAAAGCTAACTTTTTTTGAAGTTCGTTTCTGGAGTTTGAAAGTGAACTTTACAGAAAAGTTTGTTGCGGCCGATAAACACGGTTAGTCCGTGGCGATGACGTAACGGTAGCGTGTGGCTCTGAGGCTCCGCCTTCTTTGACGTGTACAATTTCTTTAGTTCAGTTCGTTGCGGTCAAACGTGAGTAAAAACATGAACACATACGCTTTATAGCAGGAATTGAGGTCGTTATTCTAATTGATAGAGACACTATAAAGCAATCACTTTATTTTTTAGTATGTGTACTTAAAGTGTACTTGCCTAAGAAGGTACTGGTTATATAAAGTAACTACATGGGTTAAGGTTAGGTTTAGGGGTAGGTTCAGAGTTAGTACCTAGTTATTATTGCAGTTACTATAAGTAGTATATAGTTTGTAGATGGGGAACAGGACTGTAAAATAAAGAGCTACCAGTCAAACTATAGTTTGAATAATCGTAATTAAAGGAGTAGTTCACTTTTCAAAAAAAATTTGCTGATAATTTACTCACCCCCATGTCATCCAAGATGTCCATGTCTTTCTTTCTTCAGTCGAAAAGAAATTAAGGTTTTTGATGAAAACATTCCAGGATTTTTCTCCATATAATGGACTTCAATGGGAACCAAACGGTTCAAGGTCCAAAAGACAGTTTCAGTGCAAACTGTTCAAAGGGGTTTAAACGATTCCAGACGATGAGTAAGGGTCTTATCAAGCGAAACGATCGCTCATTTAATAAATAAATAACAAAGTTTAAGTTTTATAAGCTCAAATGCTCGCCTTGCTCTGTACTGTGATGCACGTTAGTGACTCTCCTGTTCGAACTCGTTCATCAAAATGAACGAATCTTTTTCCAAGTCAATTCGTTCATTTCGTTCGTTGAATGAACCAAATGACTCGGAAAAAAGATTTGTTCATTTTTGAGTTGTTGAGTTTGAGTTGTTTAAAGCCCTTTAAACAGTTTGCACTGAAACTGTCTTTTGGACCTTGAACCGTTTGGACCCCATTGAAGTCCATTATATGGAGAAAATCCTGGAATGTTTGCATCAAAAACCTTAATTTTTTTTCGACTGAAGAAAGAAAGACGTGGACATCTTGGATGACATGGGGGTGAGTAAATTATCAGCAAAAGTTTTTTCAAAAGTGAACTAATCCTTTAAATAATGTGACTGGATTGTTGAATTGCAGAGCTGGTGCAAACATCTCCACATCGCTATGATCAGATGCTTTCGTTAAGGTCCACTGAAGTGTCTTGAAGCGCGCAGCATTGTTCAATGTGGTGACGTAATTTCCACTGAAACAGGAAGAAGGGGCGGGACCTATCGAACAGCTCCTCCCCTTTTTTAAATAGCCAATAGTTTTTAGTTTTTAGTTTTTTCCTCCTAACCTCCTCATATCGCTTTAAAATACAGCATTCGGTGCAGAATTCAAATGGGTCCGATCTGGGTCTTTCTGTGTTTTTTCTAGACTCGCTCATAAGACACTAACGTGAAACCTTCATTACTCCCAATGGAAAGCATATTTACACTGTCTGAATCGTTCCCTATCCCCTATACAGTGCCATTCACCATGCAGAACATAGTAAATGAGTGAACAAGTGACTGATTTTAGCTGCAGCATCAGCAGCTATTGGTATTTAAAGTGTAGGGGGCGGAGCTTCAGATTCCAGAAAGCATTTCATTGGACAGAAAATCTGATGAGAAGCTAAAGTGCAGAGTGATGTCAAGAAAATCTTTTTTCAAAAAAGTTTTGAACGCTTATATCTCCTAAATGTAAATTTTGTCAGTGTTTTGGAGCACACTAGTTTATAGATAACAGTATGCTAAGGTATTCAACTAAAAGCAAAAAAAAAAAAAGACTTTCACTGCTGTTTTCTCACCACTGTGTGTTTGTTGTGCGTTTAGTTTGTTATTGAGAACAAAGAACACGGCACATATTTATATATGAGGAAATAAGCTCACGCAATTTACATATGAACACAACCAGAGACGACAGAAAAACATACGGAGAGCATCAGTTTTAGTTTCTGCTCTGATAGACGCAAGACCAGCCGAACGCTGTGAGTGTGTGTTGAGAGAACATTGAGTTTGGTGCGTTTTTTATCTTCAAACCAAACTTGGGTCTCCCGCCGACAAAGTTTAAACCCCGTCCGGCTAGAGATCTTCCCATAATGTTCATCATTAGATCAGACGGTGTTTTGTGTCTGTTTGAACACATTCGATCACATGAAGTTTACACCACGAAAGCAATCCGCTCTAATGTGTTTTCGGTGGACAAGCTTAAAATATTTTAGACCCGTTTACTCCTGTATTTAGCGTCGTCCACTTGTGATCCGATCGCCCAAGACGCAGCTGTAAACAGGGCCTGAATGATTGGAGAAATCCTGCATTCATCACCAGAAAGAAGTGTGTTGTTTTCACTGGAAGGTCCACTCATGGACATTATGATGTCAAAGCATATTGAAAAAAGAAATATGCATAAATGAAGGGTTCACAATAAGTGCATATCTAAAATATGCATTTAGAAAATAGATAGGGTTCATATTTATTTCATGCTGACTTTAAAAAGGCAACGAAATCCGTCCAGATCCTGACACTAACCCGACCCACGTCAGCGGAAGCACAACCTGTGTGTGGTCATGAGTGTGTAAGAGGGAGTATGACTGTGATGAGGGAGAATTTGGTAACATGACCTGCATGTGTGTAGGAAGTGGTGAAGTGGTGCGGGATATGAGTAGACACGGAGCCCCGGGGGCATCTGTGTGTGTGTGTGTGAGAGCTTCTGCTGTAATCAGGGGTTAAACACTCTCCACGGCAGCTCTTCACTGCTCCCGCAGGTCTTATTCCAGCATTTAAATCTAGAACATTTCTATATTCATAGTTTCACTAGCTGGAGCCATGGCCTAATGTGTAGCTCATGCGCCTCAGAAAAGCATTGTGGGAAATGCGTGTTCGAGTGCATTCCCCCACTGCAGAATATTTTCCAGTTTCCCCTCTATTTTGACTGTCAATAATGGATTGTGTCAATATTGTTTTACAACCAGATTTTTTGTAACCTCAAACTTGAATCTGGTTCTGATAATTCCCAGCTGACACCTAACAGATATAATGTAGAGCTGAGCAACATTATAGGCAAAATATTAAAAAAAAATGATAAGTGTTTTTACTATTGGAACAATAAGGTGATGCAGGGATGATGTATTTTTTTGTAAGTCAAAGAAAATGTTTTTTTAACAGGTTTTTGGTTAAACAGGGTCTTGGATTTACATTTTTATGTTTATTTTCTATGACATAAAATACATCAGTAATATGTGATTTTTTTTTTAAATACTCCTAACAAGTGTCTAAAAGAGACTAGAGAGCTTCTATCCATTCGCTTTCACGGCCTTCCCACAGTTTGTTTATAATCAAGCTTTTGCAAACTATTATAACTTTTTATAATAAAGTATAATAAAGGAAATTTTTTTTAATAATAAAGAGTTGCCGTGATCTTAAAGGAGTAGTTCACTTTTAAAAAAACTTTTGCTTATAATTTACTCACCCCCATGTCATCCAAGATGTCCACGTCTTTCTTTCTTCAGTCGAAAATAAATTAAGGTTTTTGATGAAAACATTCCAGGATTTTTCTCCATATAATGGACTTCAATGGGGACCAAACGGTTCAAGGTCCAAATGAGAGTTTCAGTGCAGCTTCAAAGGGCTTTAAACGACACCAGACGATGAATAAGGGTCTTATCAAGCGAAACGATCGGTAATTTAAAAAAAACTAATAACAAAGTTTAAGTTTATAAGCTCAAATGCTCGACTCGCTCTGTTCTGTGATGCGCGTTCGTGACTCTCCTGTTCGAACTCATTTATCAAAATGAACAAATCTTTTTCCGAGTCAATTCGCTCATTTTGTTCGTTGAATGAACCAAATGACTCTAAAAGATTCATTCATTTTGATGAACGAGTTCGAAAAGGAGTCACGAACGCGCTTCACAGAACAGAGCGAGTCGAGCATTTGAGCTTATAAAACTTAAACTTTGTTTTTTGTTTTTTTTTAAAGACTGCTCGTTTCGCTTGATCGTCTGGAATCGTTTAAAGCCCTTTGAACAGTTTGCAGTTTGCACTGAAACTGACTTTTGGACCGTGAACCGTTTGGTTCCCATTGAAGTCCATTATATGGAGAAAATCCTGGAATGTTTTCATCAAAAACTTTAATTTCTTTTCGACTGAAGAAAGAAAGACATGGACATCTCGGATGACATGGGGGTGAGTAAATTATCAGCAAAAGTTGTGTGTGGTTCGTTTATAGCACATGTTTAGCTTTTCACTTCTGCTGTTTGTTTTGAGGTTTCAAAATTCATAAACGACAATTATGAGGATTATCGTGATGAAGAAAACGTATAAAAAAAATCATAAACTTTTGTTGGTCACAGAGATCATTTCCTACATTTTTTTTGCCAAACTTTCAAAATTGAAAGTACATCTAAAAACCTATACTCTATACTATTATCACTGATCGGAGCTTTTCGCAGTGCATTCTGGGATTGCCTTCTCTGTAGATATAGACGGCCACATCCCCATCATCATTTTGGATCAGCCTTTGCATTAAGAGCCCATCTATGACACTCTCAAACGCAGACTAGATGGGTGTCAGAACACAGCTGATGTTTCATGTTTTGCTTCGCTCTTCTCAGGGCTTTTCCAGCAGTGAATTCTCTTTGAAGTTAAAGCTGAAAACAGCTAATGACAGACACGTATTCTGAAGAAGCTTTCCCAACCTGCTCAGACCTGCACAGCACAGACACAACAACCCGGACACTTCGTCCTTCATGCGATGCTAAGGCCTCACACCTCTCCGCTGCCACATGACATATACATCTATTATATATATATAGAGAGAGAGAGATAATACCTTGGTCCGGTGACCCCTTCTCCTGAGTCTTGGCTCCCGGCCTCACTAGGAGTTCCCACAGATTTGGCCGTGGGAGACACGGGTGCAGGAACTAAAGGAAGAGAAAAACACATCAACATACAGTACTTTCATCTGCATTATTGAAGGTTCGGTTCAGTTCAATAAAATGCATTTTTGCTCAATGTCTTGTAATATATTGGTATTTTGGTGATTTTTAGTGGATTTTTGTAATACTACACACACACAATAAATAAAAAAGGATTAATAAACAACTAATTACAAACAGAATTATTTTTAAATGGATATAGATATCTGTTAAATGATTATTAGTCTGAGCATCAAACATTTGTCCAAGATTGTTGGTCGTTATTTCCGTTTGAACAATATTCTTAATTAAAATGACAAATATTCAGAAAATGTGAGTGCTTGATGAAATTGCAAGAGACACCATCAAAACTACTGTGGTGCACTTCTGCCCCCTTGTGTTCAATCTATGAAGCTCACTACAGGGGTTTCTTCATCTAGTGCACACTCATAGGAACTTGCAGAGATTTTTAATATATTGGGATGCAGTCACATTTAAATTTGAACAAGCATAATTTCAGGGCCGAATTGAAATCATCTTCATATGAATCTATATGTGACAAAATTGGGGTCTCTGACTCAGAATGTGTTACAAAAAAGAGAAAGGACACTTTCAAATACGTCCTATATCTCTGTGTTGCTACCTACTATTTCAATAAAGTCTAAACTATATATTTTTTGACCCAACCCTTTATTGATCTGTGCATAATACAGTTTATTTATATAGGTGCCTTTATGGACACTCAAGGTCACCTCACAAAACATGATTAAACATTACAGCAATAAATATGACAAATTACAACTATAGTTACGTCATATAAAATCAGAGTACATGTGTGCATGTGTTATTTATATTTATTTATTTATTTATTTTATTTTTATTATTTATTTTCCTTTTATCCACGCAGATTTTAGAAATATTATTCACTTAAGTGAAATTACTGAACTTAAATATACAAGTTTGATAAAAATCATCATTAAAGAAAAAAATTTCAAATGGCATTTAGAGGCTTTTGCATCTGAACTCTTCATATATATATATATATATATATATATATATATATAAATACACACACATGCATGTATATTTAAGAAAAAAATATTATTTATATATAAAATATTTATATTTTTATGTAATATAAATTATATATAAATCTACAGTATATACATGAAAATATTTCTTAAATATTTACAAGCATGTGTGTGTATTTATATATATAAAATAATTATACACAGTGCACCCACATATATTATGTAAACACAAACTTTTATTTTGGATGTGATTAATCACGATTAATCGTTTGACAGCCCTAAAAACTAAAACATATCACTGTTAAAACTTCAAATTTGAAAAAAAAAAAAAAAAAAAAAAAAATCAATCCAATATGGAATTTCACGTAATGGATGCATTAGAAGAAACTCATGGATTTTGCATTGGATGAATTTGCTGCGCTGAACAATATAAAGCGACTGACTTTAGAAGTCATCTATGAGTAAGTGGTGCTCAAAGTACTGATAATGGACAATGGATTTGCTTTGCCCGTAAAATTCTGCTAAATATCTGATAATGTGACTGCACTTGTAGGATAAATTGTGGCCTAATAATATTAGGGGTGTAACAATATATCGTGCCACAATACAAAAATGCAACAATACGTATCGTGGATAGTGACAATATGTATTGTGTATAGAAATGACTGAGTGAGAAAAAAAGAGTTTTCAGAGTTTTAGACATTAAACCACTATATATAATGTTGATTATAATGTATAATAATCCACTGGGGGGATTATTAGTGGTCCAGATAATGCCAAATGTCTGATGTTAGCAGTGAAAAGTGGCCGACATTTATTTGATATATCTCTAGTCAGTGACAGCACAAGCATATTCGTCTAAAATAATTCAGTATTTTCAGCTTCAGAATCACTGAATATTGTTATTGTGGTGTCTCTATTGTCCAAGTCCAAAAGCCTGTTCATTTACACACATAATGTAACAACAAATTTAGCATTTTAATCAACAGTACATTTTTTGTTAACCTTTTATCATATGTCTTGGAATATCACAATAATATGAATCGAATCGTTACATCACTATAATATACCAAAAATGTGTTATTATTATTGAACATTGGGGCGAATGAACATTGTCGTCTCACTGATATCATTTAGAGTTTGATATCTAAGGACAGGTGAATCTGAAGGACATGCTGTGTGAAACTGACACACACACACACACACATACCCGCAGGTGTGTCAGACGTGATGCCCATACTCTGCAGAAGAGCATCCGCCTCTCTGCGCTTCTTCTCCAGGTCTGAGTCATCCTGCTGTGGGACGGCCACCTTCTTCAGCTCAGCCTGACACAAACACACTCAATCAAACACTTCCTTCAAAAACTAACTTTCTATTTTTCTCAAAGCTCAAAAAAACAGCAATCTGACTCTTCCGCCAGGAACCATCCTACAGCATACTCAATTTTGACACAAATTGTAGTGTTGCCTGCATTAATCAAGCTCAACCCTGTTAAAGTTATAGTAAGATAAACATTTCTCTTTTTTTATGGGAAATTTAAGTTGATCAATAACAGCAAACTAACACCGTCCAAACTTTTTTTTCCTCTTGAAAATATGCAATTAGTGCTGAAGATTGTGGCGGATTCATTTCTTGAACAACATTGCTTCATATTAATATGACATGTTAAAGGTACAGTATGTAGGATTTCTCGCCACCAGGGGTCGCTAACCTCTTACAAAAACAAAGGCGTATATTAATGACGGATATTCCGCATTAAGTGGAATTATGGATTTTGTCGTCAAGCTGATGGATCTTTTATGGATGAGTGAATACAGTGATGTTTTTAACATGACTGTGGTGTGAAGCAGGGTGCGATTGCTAGACGTATACCAGAGCCACACGCAACGCGAGTCTCGCGGATATAAAAGAATAAGGACATTTCATTCTACCGAACTACAAACAAGTGCTGAATTACTCATACAGGTCTGTTTATTAGACGAATGACACTTCAGATAATGCAGCGCTGCTTTAACCCTCTGGGGTTGTTCGTTTCAGAGTCACACTCGGGGTGTTCGGGTCCAAATGGACCAAAAGGGCGGGATTCATATTTTTTTTTTAAAAAATCATGATTTTTTTTTTTTACTCGTTTTTTTATAATATTTTTTCTTTTCTTTTTTGGTGTTTTGAGAAAATTTCAAAAATATTTTTTTTTATAATTAGTATTAATGCAATAATTATGACAAAATTTCCCCCCATTGAACATAATAGAAAAAATATTTAATTTTTTTTTTTTTTTTTTTAAAGCTGTTTCATTTTAGAGTCAAGGCTAGGCCTCATAAAAGCAATTTTTGAAATGAGATGGATGCCATCTGGTGGACAAACTGAGCATTTTAAAAATGCAAAACACATATATAATCAGAATTTTTTGGTGTGTTTGTGTATAAAAGTGTGTTTGTGTGTGTGTGTGTGTGTGTGGATGTGTCTGTTTTGCACTCTTGATGTTTTATAGATTCACCCCTTCACTGTTGTGAGCATTTTTTCAAGATCGTGGCTGATTTGTAGATTGTACGCACAAAAAAACTCAGTATTTTCACATTTTTGCCAATTTGCCATTCATTTTCCATGCGGGTCCACCCAAGTGTGACTATTTTTTTTACAACCACTTAGACTATTCACATCCTGTCCCCAATTTTTTTGGGTGTTCAAATACCAACAAAGTCACCAAATTTCGGACCATTCCGAGGAAACTGTGATTTTTAAAAAAAATTTATTTAAATTGTTCGGGTCCATTTGGGCCGAACAACCCCAGAGGGTTAACAGTTACATTATCACACTAAATGGCATTTGAGTGTGTTGAATGTTGTTAGTTAGGTTGTGTGTTGGCTGTCTGAGACTAAGTAAGCTAGACCAACATTAGAATAACATGCAGATCATATTCTAACATTTCATCATGTTGAACTAAATAACATTGATTAGTTTTATGTTATATTTGCTCATCTGTCTAATAAAGTACATGCAACACTCGCGTCTCTGTCAAGTCGAAGTTAGTCGTGGACGTGGAGCTCTCGGCATCTCCAAAACGATATTGATCCTCGTTTTAGTCCTCTTATTGTCTTAAAGTCTGCTAGCTATCGTTCAAAATGTTTGAACAAAACAACAGTGTGAGCGTCCTGCTAAGCATAACCCAGTTGTCAACGTCTGTCGCCATGGTTACTATGGCAGTACGAGAGCGGAAACCGAGGGTAACGCGGATATGACGTCATTGACTGGCGACTCCTCACCCCGACTCACACGTCCCCGTTTCTTTGGTTTAAATTGCAATGTTCTCATGATTTCAAACAGTTTGAAACCTTTGGGATATTGTAAGTAATCAACTAAACAAAATATATAACATTGGCCTAGCGGTTTTTGGATATTTTTCTGCAAAAATCCTACATATTGTACCTTTAACAGCAGAGTATATGTGGATTATTGTTTTTATCGGAGTTATGCACAGTATAGTATAAAAGCATACTATGCACACTAAAGACAAGCTGTTTCACAGACACATCTTACAGCAACAGACCTCTGGCATGCTGGGCAGTATTGAGTCGCATTCTTGTGTGTAAATGAATGCACATAAAGTGGAACTTATTGTGGTATATTAAAGGGATAGTTCACCCAAAAATTACAATTCTGTCCTCACTTACTCACCCTCAAGTTGTTTCAAACCTGTATACATTTCTTTCTTCTGTGGATCACAAAAGAAGATATTTTGAAGAATATGGGTAATCAGACAGTTGGACCCCATTGACTTCCATTGTTTTTTTCTCCATACTGTGGAAGTCAATGGGGTCCAACTATCTGGCTACTGACATAGAGAAATTTATACAGGTTTGGAACAACTTGAGGGAGAGCAAATAATGGCATCCCTTAATGACTAAAATAACTATCCCTTTAATGGAAGTAAAAAGTCTGTACCTCTTTTTTCTTGCGTTCCTCCTCCTTTCTCTTCTTCTCCTCTCTAATCTGAGCCAAGCGTTGTTTCTTTCGCTCAAGCTCGGCCTTCAGCTCACTTTTATCCGACATGATGCTTCACACACACACAAAGAAAAGAAAGAATATATGTCATGTTAAACAAGGTTTTTCTGTATGTTCAATTATTTAGAGAGACAATGTCAAAAAGATAAGGAAAAATACCTTTTTTGTATATTAAACCTTCACATAATTAAAAATAAAAATAGTTTGCATATTTATTTTTGTTGAGTATCATATTTGACCACATATGGGTTTTTTTAGGTTTGATATAGTGAGAATATGAAGCTCACTATCGAGGAGGAAAACAGCAAAAATGTGAAATGTTATGCTGTTAAATATTGATATGGCCAGCAAAGTGAAATTCTGATTGTAATGCAAATCAATGAGATCTTTATAAGCAGACTACTTACATAAAACGCTTATAATACTAGTCGTCACTCTATATCTGCTATTAAAATAATGTCTTAGTAAGATGATATTCCAATGCTCAGTTTTAAGATCGAAGCTCTGTTGTTTTTATTGGGAGGGGGGGGGGGCATATAATGCAATGCAATACAATGATGATTGAAAGATGAACAAATAAATCCTCAAAAGCCTGATGCATCATACTGATGTACAGAAAATATGTATGGATAATCAAGCAAATGTTCACCTTATATATTACTAACAACATAAATGTTATTCATAAAATGAATAAAGATTTCACGACAAAAAGACATGCGTAAACAACCTGGGGCGGTTATACTTGATAAAAAGTATGAATTATCAACTAACCTGGCTATAGGCAACATGTTATAGAATTGTGTATCAAATATGATGTAGTAGGCTTTAAAACATTGACTAGCAGTTGACCAAGCATAAGGCGCTGAGGGAAAGAAAGAGACATTCTTCCTTCGCCTAGTCTCGTCTCAGGCTCTTCAGACAGATTTACAGGAGTCGTGTGTGTGTGTGTGTAATCTGACTCTCTCCACACACCACTCTGAATGACCACATTAAAACATGCACTTGAAACGGACTAGTTTAGTCCAGAAACCAGGCCAATTTCCACTGGAGACTTCAGGACTGATCCATGAGTCCTGATCCAGAAACATCACACCAGCTCGTGATCTTAGGAGGAGTTTCACAGCACAATAAAACCACTGTTAAACTCAACACTTTAAACATAGAATCACACAAGATCATTTTTGTAATTTCAGCATAAGAGAACGAACTTCTTTTAACCAACATCCTGTATGATCTTAAGTGGCAAAACATACTGATCTTTTCTCAGAATGATATTGTTCTTCGTGAATTTTGGTGAATATATTTAGTCATTTCTCCTCAAGTTCACACAGGTGACGTCCATCACATTAACTATGAACAATGTTCTTATGTTTTAAATGACACTGCATTTGAATGTGTTTATACAACAAAATGACAATTATGCATCAACTATATATTAATGCATAATAGTTAACTGTCCAAGTCTAACATTATCAGCATTTTTGGAGTGTAGCAAAGAGAGCAGAGACAACTCATGGCATCGTAATATCATGTATTAATAATGATAATAATATAATTGTTTGTTTAGGCACTACAAAATTAAAAGTTCAATAATCAATTTCAAGTCTGTGTACACATAAACATTTACTGTAATCCATTTTAAAGCGGATTTATCTAACGTTCCTGTCAGTAATCCGAATGAGATTAACTTCTGCCTTCTCACAGCAGAAACAACAAACAACAACCATATACCAACAAACACACAAACTATATATATATATACAAAAAACAGAGGACTTTAATGTGTGTTACTGCCATCTGATTCACAGTAGCAGCCCCAGTAGAAACCTACCGCTGGACTACACCCAACACATTTAAAAGTGACATACTGAAGGATAAACAGTTGACTTGTATTATAAACATACTACTGGAATGTTTTCTCTTATCTGAAAAGCATGTTGTGAATGTGAACAGACCTGATGGAGTTTAATGCCTGCAGAAAGCGCTGCTTTTGTTGCACTGATCAGTTTCCGGGTGCGCGGATGTGGAGGAGGCGCGACTGACGGGTGCCGGCGAGGAACAAAATAACCGAATGTCTAAAACGCGATTGTTTTCTTCAAAAAGTAAACTGCTAAAATTCTTCATTAAAAGAAAACAGCAAAAATAACGGAACCTTTTTGTTAACTTATTGCTATATTTTACAGTTATTACAGTCTGGTGGCATGCCATGTAGGTTATTTGTACTTTAGTGTTTGCAAACAGTATTTTTTTATTAGAAAAAAACATATTTATTCCTTTATTTAATTTTACATTTCAATTTCTTTTTTTATAAATCCCAATATGCGTGGGGAAAATTGTGACATTGTTCTGGACTGGAAACCATTGGCTTCATGCTTAAAATGTCTGGTTAGGAAGAACACAGAGTCTAGTACTATACCATTTTATTGTGCCATTGGAGCAAGAAGCAGAAGAGAGAGATGCAGAAGATAATGTGTCTTTTTTGTTGTTGTTGTTGTTGTTGTTTCAAAGAACAAAAAAATACAAAATTCTTAAAAACAGGACAAATATTAAACTACACAAATACACATGTGAGTATTAACAGCAATCAGGCAAATATTAAACATATGAAAAGATTACACCTGAAAAATCTAACCAAAATCGAATCTCAAGTAAGTGTTTATACATTGAATATAAATTGTAGTGATTGGTAGATGTACAGAGGTGTGCACAACCTACTTTTTCGACTTTCTCAGTTTGTGTAAATCCACTCGGGGGTTCAGAGTATTTTACCTCCACACAAATAGAGGAGCCAGAATGCTTTACATTTCTTTGCTTAACATTGAACTCTCAGTATTTTTTCACCTGTTTCTCATGATTTCTCAATAGAATGCATTAATTAATTAATGTGAATTATCTAACGTCATAGCCGCATCGTTCATTGTTATACAGTGTTACAACATGCTCCATCCGGCAACAGGGATTTTAACCTGGCTAGCAGGGCCGTGCACAGGGGGGTGGCTTGGTGGCTAGAGCCACTGCCCCTCTGCCCTCATCGACTGAGGTGCCCCTCTTCCCACCCCCACCGCTCCGCTGATTCCGCTAATCCGCTACAGGTTTTCCGAGTGGGGGTTCAATCTTCAACTGGCTGGCAGGAGCTGCCACTGGCAGGTCACGTGACTGACTGGCAGCTGCCAGTCACTGCCAGTGGCTGACTGGCAGCTGCCAGTGGTTGTCTGTCTGTCAGTCTGCCTTTGGCAAGTTTCAGAAACCATTGATTTTTGACAGTTTTTGTGTTTTGTGTTCCTCCCTTTATAGCTCATTTATTATGTATCTGTTGAAATTATTGTTATTAGTAGTAGGATCCCAATTTAATAGTCAAATGGCCGTGATCAGACTGGCAGTTTACAGACGCTGCTGGCCTCATCCAGTCAGCCGCGGGTGATCAGCGAATATAACGCGTTGCCTGCCTGACACTCTGGCTGAAAGGAAATAAAAAAAATTCTTATTATGAATATAATGTCATGCCTTTATTCTTGTGTATTATTGGTGTTTTGGGTACTGTTGTCGCGATTAAACCAATCAAATGGCCGTGATCCGACTGGCAGCTTACAGACGCTTGCTGGACGCTCATCCAGCCAGCCGCGGGTGTAGTCAGGGTATTCTGTTTTTCCTTTACCGGCCCTACCTGTGTTACTTATTTTGATTAATTTATGATTTATTGTTTACTCAACTCTCAAGACCTCTCTTATTAAAACTATGGTGTGTCAACACCAGAAACACTACCCCGATTGTCTGTAATTTCTAATATGTTCGGTCCTTTGTCTATTGGAGAATTTGAAACGAGCTGAACTAGACCCAGATAGCAAAAAATATCCGCACGGCTTCTTTTTGCCGCCGGCCTGATGCTGTCGCTATAGGTCCGTCCCGCTTAATCGATTAAGGGCTGTAACAATATATAATATTGTAATGACCTGGCAGTCAGCGCTAGCAGCTGGGTGCATTATGGGTAATTGTTTATTGAGAGTTGATTTATGTGTTATTACAGCAAGATCTTTAAGTTGTTGTTATAGTAAAGTTATGTGTGTAATGTTCAAGTTGATCAGATGTTCTTGGTTCATTTACTGCCTAATGTAAAAATGTGTCCCTCACCGTTGTTGAGAGAGATGTGTAAGGCAATAGGGCCCTGCCTGAGTAGTTTTTTCTTGGTTCTGCATTAAAAGTGGAAAGACGGTGTTACTGCCTCCTGTTGGTTGATGTGTAAACACTCTGGGTCGTGCGGTGTATGGGACATGAGTGTTCTTATCTCATTTTAGGATTTAGCTTAGGAAAAGTGTTATTAGCCTAATTTAGCTCCGGTTAGACTCACGTTTTATTTGGATAGCTACCAGTTATTACAGTGGTGTCAGAAGTGGGATTTTAAAAGTCGTTTAAAAGACGGCGTTATGGAGCAAAGCATAGGCGAATTAGAGCGTGCCATCCATGAGAACAGCATCATGCCTAGAGCGTCTGACGAGCAAGACGCCGAGGAGGAGCAGGGCTCCGCACAGCCTGACGGCGCCAGCATTCACCGAGCCATGTACCACTCTCCTGGTCCCCGACAGAACGAACTTCCAGTCGTCTCACCGACACTCCAAATTAGTGGCCAGCCCGGCGCCCTCACACGTTCGCCCGCTAAGCTACCACGATAATAGCGGGTTGACACCCCTGGAAACCTACCTGCACAAGTCGACCTGGCCGCCCTCCACGATGGATGGAGCTGTGAGGAGACGGCGATTCATTTGGCCCTCGCCTTGGAGGGTCCCCGCACTCCAGGTCCTTATCGATCTGTCTCCGGAGGAGCGCGCGTGATCTCCAGGCCCTCACTGCTGCTCTCAACGC